AAATGAGCTACATTAATTAATGGGTTAATTTTCATACTCCTAGTTAGACTAATATATATATATATTAAATGAGCTACATTAATTAATGTGTTAATTTTCATACTCCTAGTTAGACTAATATATATAATATTAAATAATCTACATTACTTAATGGGTTAATTTTCATACTCCTAGTTAGACTAATATATATATATATTAAATGAGCTACATTAATTAATGGGTTAATTTTCATACTCCTAGTTAGACTAATATATATACATTAAATATTGATAATTATAAGAAGTTTTTCTGACTAATTACCTAACAAAATAAATATAATTACATCTTTATGAAATGATTATGTTATATTTATGTTAATTTTGTTATTTATATCAATCCACAAGAACCTTTATGATCACAGAACAAGCTACAAGTTTTCATACAAAGATAATTACACCTTTTCCATATAATAATATGCATTCCAATCTTTATTATTTTGTAAAATTATTCACCTTTTTACTAAAGGAAGTCCCAAAGCATACTCACCACCCACTGTATTGTAATGGCCGACGGACTTTCTGTCTTAGCGAGTAATATGATGGGACCGATAACAGGTTTCTTCATAGGGGGGTCCTTAGAAAGCATGTATGAAGAACTTGGTCCATGATTATTGTCGTAATTTGAATAAACTGCTGCTATCCTGAACCTGTACGAGGTACCTAGAAAACAGAAATAAATATTAAATAAAAACTTCTAAAAAAACAATCGTTTCTCAAAACTGTTGTATAAGCAAAAGTTGACTTAATATTAAGAAAATGCTGAAATGGAGTTTAGATTTTATTTTTTGATAATTTGTCCTATCTTACTTATGTTTTTCAAGAAAAAACAAACAACCAGAATGAGAGTGTTATCAATGTAAAACCAATCAGGGGTGATGTAGTAATTGTTTTCATAAAACTAGTCAGGGCTAGTGGAGTAAATGTTGTCAGTGTAAGAACAATCAGGGGTGATGTAGTAAGTGTTGTCAGTGTAAAACTAGTCAGGGCTAGTGGAGTAAATGTTGTCAGTGTAAGAACAATCAGGGGTGATGGAGTAAGTGTTGTCAGTGTAAGAACAATCAGGGGTGATGGAGTAAGTGTTTGTCAG